AGGGATGTCGGGACAAGATCCCCGATCATCCTAACAACTAAAATACTAAAACAAATGATAAAAGGAGTCCTCCGGATACCAAAGAGGCTCACCAACTGACTCAAAGTGCTCAACTGGATCAACGAGGAGTTGGATGTTGATCCTTGTTACCTGTGCCTGCATCATGAAACGATGCAGGCCAAATGGTGTCAGTACACTGAATGTATGAGTATGCGAGGGGAATGCCAAAACAAGACATAAGCTTGAAAAGAATCTGAAGAGAACACTTACCTTAGACTTACTCAACTCATGAATACTCAACGCAAATGCAAAGTGAAAACAACAATAAGGGTGCAGTTTATACAAAGCATTTAAAACAGTAGATAACAACTCAATGTATTAAACAAATACAATAGCAACTCAATTTACATATAAAGTAATATAATATTGTAGGAGTTTCTCTAACCGACAACTACCACTAATAGCCCAAGTGGTGATACAGCGTCTCGCCCACGCTGCCAGGACTGTCCTATACTTTGCCATCATATAGAATGCCTCAACTAAGTGGATCCACTAGTCTATGCTAAAAAGAACTAAGGAATCATCTAAAAAGTATGATCTTTTCTACCCATGATGGCTACATGGTTTATGGGGACTTGAGTTATTATGAACTCATCCCCATATCAGTGCTCAATACATATACTCAGCTCATATGTTTTAAAAACGAAACTATTTCTGTGATTTGAGATAATTACTCAAAAACTAGCTCAAAGGCTCTTTAGGAAATCGGTGTTTCCTTTCTTGCTCAAATATGAAAACATTTTAACTCTTGGAAATACTTAATTCCCGTATAATCTTTTTAAGAAATGAACTTTGATCTTACTCTTTACTCAACTCAAAACTCAAGTCTTAAAACAAAGTTAAAACGTTTGTAAAAGACTCTTGGCTTGACTCTTGAGTTCTCTTGACTTACTCTCAACTTTCCTTGAATTGAATTATTGATTCAAGGTTCATGATCTCATGTTTATGGATGATTTCATGATGTTTAGACGTACCTTAGAGTGTAGGAATCAACTACGAAACATAGGTACGTTTCCAGGTAACTAGTACGGAAAGAAGTGAGAAAAGGTAGGAGAACTGGCATCCCGGCGCTCTAAGAGGCGCGGGGTGCTAGAGCCCAAACTTCAGAGAGCTGGGTTGGGGCGTTGTAGCTGGCGTGGCACCCCAGATCCCAAACTTCAGACTCTGAGTGGGGCGCTTTGGGAGGCGCGACACCCCAAGCCCCTGCCCAGAAATTCACTGTTTTTTCTTCTTCGTTTTTCAACTCTAAACCCCCCCCCCCCCAAATTTAGTTGGTTCTTTCCCCAAACACCTAGAATCAACTATATCATCAATATATGCAAGATTCAACTCGAAATCACACCTAATTTCCTGAATCAAACTCAAGAAACTTCAACAACAAGAACCCACAAGATTTCAAACGAATTATCATCAAGAACTCATAATATTTTCTTTCAAAACGACACCTTCGTTGAATTGAATCATGATTGGCGTGTGGGTGAACTAACCCAATGCTATGTGATCTCACATACCTCGTAGGGATTACCCCTTGACGAAATCCACGACCTTAGCTTCAAAATTTGGCGATTCTTGCTCCTTCTCCTCTTTTCTCCTCTTCTTTGCTCTTCTCTCAAAACCTTAACCCTTTTTCCAAAAGCATAAACTGACCAAGTTCAGTTTAGAGCCCAATTAAACTCCTATAAACGAAATAAAATAACTGGGTAAGGAAAAGACCAAAATACCCTTCCAAAATCCGGTTTTGACTTTCTTTATCTAGACAGCCCAACTTCGAATGGGCATATCTCACTCACACGAACTCGGAATTGAGGAAACTCGGTGGCGTTGGAAAGATAATTCCAAGATATTTTCTACGGTATCAATTAGATCAGCTAACTCATCATTATATAGGAGTTATGGCCGTTTGAAGTTGACCCAAAAATCAAACCTAACGTTATCTTGTCAAATTTTCCAAATTTTCATTCTTTCCAAAAATGACTCTTTCTAATTCTAGCTCTTTCTAGTTGCGGGATGTTACAATATCTCCCCCTTGGGAAAATTCACCCTCGATTGAGATCAATCTTAGTAGGCTAAAGGCGTAACATCTAACATTCAGTTCAAACACCCAACAAGCAAAAATGCAAATACAATATGCCAATTTAAAAATATAAATGCCAAGAAAAGGATTAGTACCTTAATTTGGAAATTCTCCGGATTGGAAGAGATGTGGATATCTCTTCATCATATCCTCCTCAGCTTCCCAAGTAGCTTCCTCAACAAACTGATTTTTCCAAAGAACTTTGACTGATGCTACTTCCTTAGTCCTCAACTTGTAAACTTGGCGATCTAAAATCTGAATAGGAATCTCCTCATAAGATAAGCTATCCTTGATACCACTATCTTCAATTGGAATGATTAATGAAGGATCGCCAATACACTTCTTCAACATTGAGATGTGAAATACCGGATAAACCACTGCTAACTCTTGTGGTAGCTCCAACTCATAAGATACATTTCCAACCCTTTGGGATATTCAGTAAGGGCCAATATACCAGGGACTAAGTTTCCCCTTCTTACCAAATCTCATAACACCTTTCATGGGTGAAACTTTCAAGTAGACCCAATCATCTACTTCAAACTGTAACTCCCTTATCCTAACATTAGTGTACGATTTCTGACGACTCTGCATTGTTTTCAACCTCTCTTGAATCACTTTCACCTTCTCCATAGCTTGATGAACTAGGTCTGGTCCTATCAACCCAGCTTCACCAACTTCAAACCATGCAATAGGAGATCTGCATCTTCTTCCATAAAGAGCTTCGTAGAAAGCCATTTGGATGCTAGAGTAGTAATTATTGTTATAAGCAAACTCAATGAGAGGTAGGTGATCATCCCAATTACCTTTGAAGTCAATCACACAAGCCCTCAATATATCCTCTAAGTTCTGATAGTGCGCTCTGCTTGACCATATGTATGAGGATGAAAAGCAGTACTTAAGTTCACCTTTGAACCCAAGTCGTTCTGAAAGGACATTCAGAAATGTGCAGTAAATTGGGGGCATCTCTATCAGAAATAATGGAGACCGAAACCCCATGAAGTCTGACTACTTCTTGAATATACATCTTAGCATAATCCTCTACTGAGTAGGTAGTCTTTACTGGCAAAAAGTGGGCTAATTTTATCATTCTATCAACACACAACCCAAACCAACTCTAGACGCATCACAATACACAACAAAACCTTGAGTACCTTCTGGTAAGGTCAATACTGGGGCAGTAGTCAATCTCTTTTTCAATTCCTGAAAGCTTTTCTCACAAGCTTCAGACCATTGAAACTTCACTGTTTTCTGAGTCAACTTGGTCAAAGGACATGAAATAGATGAGAACCACTCGATGAACTTCTTATAATATCTAGCCAACCCCAAGAAACTCCTAATATAAGTTGGAGATGTGGGTCTAGGCCAATTCTGCACTGCCTCTATTTTCTAGGTATCCACTCTAATTCCATCACCGGAAACAATTTGGCCTAAGAATGCCACAGACTCAAGCCAAAACTCACATTTTGAGAACTTAGCATAAAACTCTTTATCCTTTAGAGTTTGGAGAACTATTCTGAGATGACTAGCATAATCTTCCTCATTCCTCGAATAGATTAGTATGTCATCAATGAACATGATAACAAACATATCTAAATAAGGCTTGAATACTCTTTTCATAAGGTCCATGAATGCTTCAGGCGCATTACTTAAACCGAACGACATGACCAAAAACTCATAATGACCATAACGGGTCCTGAAAGCTATCTTTGGAATATCACATTACCTTACTCTTAACTGATGATAGCCTGATCTGAGTCTATCTTAGAGAAACAGGTAGCACCCTGAAAATGATCAAAAAGATCATCAATTCTCGAAAGAGGATACTTCGTTCTTGATGGTAACCTTGTTGAACTGGCGGTAATCTATATACATCCGAAGGGAACCATCATTCTTCCTCACAAATAAGACCGGAGCTCCCCAATGTGAGACACTTGGTCAAATGAAACCTTTATCTAGGAGATCTTTCAACTGTTCGTTTAGCTCTTTCAACTCTGTTGGAGCCATTCTATATGGCGGAATAGAAATAGGACGAGTTTCAGGAAGAATATCTAAACCAAAGTCTCTCTCTCTCTTAGGAGGGAATCTGGGTAGGTCATTAGGAAAGGCTTCTGGAAACTCACTCACAACTGGAACTGACTCAATAGGAGGTGTCTCAACACTAGAGTCGTTAACTCGGACTAAGTGATAGACACAACCCTTGGAAATTGACTTTCTCGCCTTAAGGTACGAAATGAAACGACCCTTAGGAACAACTAAACTACTACTCCACTCTATAACTGGCTCATTAGGAATTTGGAACCTAACAACTCGAGTTCTACAATAAATGGAGGCATAACAAGCATGAAGACAATCCATACCTAGAATGACATCAAAATCAACCATGTCTAACTCAACTAAATCAGCCATGGTGCTCTTGTGATTGATGGAAATGACACAATCACTATATACTCGCTTAGCTAGAATAGACTCCCCAACAGGTGTAGAAACACAAAAGGGCTCACAAAGTTTCTTAGGGAGGATATCAAAATTCATTGCAACATAAAGAGTCACAAAAGATAAACTTTCTCCTAGGTCTAGCAAAGCATAAAAATCAAGAGTAAAGGCTTTGATCATACCAGTGACAACATCTGGAGAATTCTCTGGCTCTTGACGACTAATTTTGCATAAAGGCGGTTTAATCCTCCACCAGTACCGAAACAAGATCCTCTAGGTGCTGCCCTGTATGGTGGAGCAACTGATGAAGATTGGGCCATATTGCCTTGATTCCCATTACCTTGCCAGTTCTTAGGGCACTCTTTCATGAAGTGACCCTCTTGTCCACACTTGAAGCAACTTGTGGAGCCATTGGGACACTTACCTAGGTGGTTTATCCACGCTTAGCATATGCAGGAGCCCAGTTACCTCCTTGTGCCTTACTACTCTGAGACTGTGTAGGTCTAACTCTAAAGTTCTACGAATTTTGACCATTATACTCACCTTTGTTTCTGGATGCAGGTGCACTAGCAGATGATGGAGCAGGTCCATTTTGCTTTTGCTGAAAGGATGAACCGTTCACATTATTTCTTTGCTGCCCGGACTCACTCCATGTCTTAGCCTTCTTGTTTCTAAACTCTTTTCTATCTCTCAGCTTCTCTCCCTCAACCTGCTGCACATAAACCATCAACCTTGCTATATCCATATCCCTAATTAGTATAGCTACCTTGCCCTCTTTGCTTGATAGACGTGAAATCCTAGCCATAAATAAACTCATCGTGCTCCTCATATCTACAACCATCTCTGAAGTATATCGGTAATGTTGGGTAAACTTCAAGCTTTACTCATGAACACTTAGTGAATCCTGCTTAAGGGTAAGGAATTTTGGTACCTTGGCTTCTCTCAGTTCTCGGGGAAAGAATCGCCCCAAGAAAGCCTCCTCAAGCATAACCCAACTCAAAATCGATACATCATCAGCCCTACCCTTCTTCCACCAGTCAAACCAAGTCCTAGCAACATTCTTCAGTAGCTATGCAGCTAGTTTCACTCGCTCAGCATCAATGACGTGCATAACATCAAATACCTTTTTCAGTTCCTCAATAAAATCTCTAGATCCTCAGTAGTGCTTGAACCTATGAAGCTTGGAGGATTCATCCTGAAGAACTCACGGATCCTCAAAGTATCAGTCTCTTCTTGTCGAGCCCCTCTTTGTTGCCCAACTTTGTTGGTCACAACTTGACTTAGCATTCGGATTGCTTCCCAAAATTCAGCATTGGTGACCTCTCCTTTGGTTTTCACTTCAGGTGCATTGGATACCCTTTGTTCCTCGATATTCCACCTAGCAGGACGACCTCTAACAGCTCTTTGTGGAGGCATCATTAACTGAAAGACATGCGCAAGCACGAGCTAGAAAGAGACTTTATAGAGATGAACTCTATCGCATGAAATGAATGTGAAAAAAGTGAGGATGTTCGTAAATGTCGCAGCCTCCTAGTTATAGATGTGGTGCACTTCACACCGATAATCAGGACTCTACAGACACGGTTTCATAGACTCCCTAGGACTCTTGAACTTTGTGCTTTGATACCAAGTTTTTCACCCGCCCCTAGCCTACACCCTGGGTGGGACAGGCACTCGAGAACCATTGATGACCACAAGTGAACCCTTGGCCTGGCTTAATTCATAATGGAAGACTTAAATAACAAGAAACAGTCTCAAAGGACAACTCATGCAAAATCTTAAAGAAATATTAAATTAGCCAAAATGGCAACTCAAGTCTTAACGTATACAACTGAAAATGGAAAGACTAAAGAACTATAAATACTCGTCTATGAAGCCTCTAAAACAAAGAGGGATGTTGGGACAAGACCTCCGATTATCTTAAGAACTGAAATACTACAACAAATGATAAAAAGAGTCCTCCAAATAGCAAGGAGGCTCATCAACTAACTCTGAGTGCTCAAATGGATCAACGAGACACTGGATGTTGATCCTGGTTATCTGTGTCTGCATCATGAAATGATGCAGGCCAAATGGCGTCAGTAAAAGTTGAAAGAACAATTGAAAGATTTATTGGATAAGGGTTTCATCCGATCGAGTATCTCTCCATAGGGTGCTCCAGTTTTGTTTGTTAGAAAGAAAGATGGTTCTCTTCGTATGTGTATTGACTATGCAGATTTTACACTTTGATATAATTTTTGAATTGTTTCTAATGTATTGGTTTTTCTATGTTATTTTGCAGGTATGGCCAGGCCTAAGGTTCCAAGAAGAAATCAACACCCACAGAAGAGAGCGTGGGGAAAAATGATAAACGAGGGTGATGCGCCCTCATGAGCTACATAAGAAAAACTTGCTCCGATAGCGTGGAAGCATGCAGAAAAGGGTAAGGGGTCTACAGTACAACATCCAACTGAGGATTGCTCCGACAGCATGGGCATATATGACACCTACCTCACCACCTCAGAGTCTAACAGTGAGAGTAACTCGAGGTCTAGATCGTCACTCTCCGTATCCAACCCGGAGGATGACTAGAACTTGCAAAAGAGGAGAGCTGAGTTGCACTCTAAAGTGCTACATGATCCTGCCATGATACCGGTGACTCCTACACCTCATAAAACTCTAGCATAGACGGTTGAGCAGGTACCTCCAGTACCTCTGGTATAAGCATCTCCACCTCAATCGTTGAACATATTAAAGTTACTTGGTTGAGGACTATCTTAGAGGAGAAGTGGTTGTCTACAGATAGAGTGGTGGACAGATACCCTAAAGTGGGGAACACCATCAAGTTCCACAAGTTTGAGATATTTACCACGCCCCGAGGAGCATACATACCTTCGTGGGTCCGATAATTTTATGTTGAATATGGGAAGTTGGTGCCTAAGGGTAAAAACAAGTCCAGCTTATTCGCACCGATTGATCATGTGATGGTGCTTGGTAAGAAGGTAAAATGCAGCAGCACCGACATTAATGAGGTGCAAGAGTGTACAATGAATGTGATCCACTACTTAGTGGATCAGATACAGAAGAAGACCCTGGATTATTTAAATGGGTGGTTGGCTCCTTTTCTCTCCGACATCACACCGACATAGATCGAGCCAGGAGTTTAGATAGAGAAAAAGGACTTGAATGTGGTTGCCTGGTATTGGTTCGTATTTATTAGCAGCACTGTGATGCCTTCACAGAATGAGTCCATACTCCGGCATTCTAAGGCGGCTTTGTTGGGGTGCATCATTAACCGTGATAGACTGAATCTCGGACTAATTATTGAGCAAGAGATGGCCATAAGGGACAAATAGATTCATACCTCACTTTCTTCCCGATGTTGATCACAGAACTGTGTTGCGTGCTCGAGTGCCATTGATGGAGAAGACGGATATGGAAGTGACTCCCACTTCCTTTACTGACACCTGGAGGATCGAGGCCGAGTACACTAGGGACGAGGTGAGAGGAGGAGAATTGCACTGGTGGATACTTCCCCAATTGTTGATGTGGAGATGCTACAGATAGATACCACCCTTCCTACTTAGGCCGGTGAGCCTTCAGGTACCCCTGACACTTCTACTATTGTCCCTTCTACTTCTGTTGCTGCTACTACTTCTACTATTGCTGCTTCCCGGCCCCCATTGACCCAGTCTATGTTATTCAAAATGGGCCATCTAGCCCAATCTTCTAATGTACGTGCCTCTCGGGTAGAGGTTGTTGTCCCTGGTATGATTAAGAGGGCCATTGATGTTGCCTTAGATCTTATTCAGGGTGAGTTGAGAGAGCATTAGGAACTGATCACCGTGCATGGCTTGGCAATAGACGCCCTCACGGGGAGAGTGAAGGCATGTGAGCAGAGTGGACGCCAATTTGATGATGTGACGGCTTTGAGAACCAATGTTTCTAGCCTGAGATGTGATGTGGATAAGCTTAAATCCGTCAATGATTTTCGATACAGTGGACCTTCCCGATGTCCCAAGTACAGAGTTTTAGCCATTTCAGAGATCCCTCTGGCTACTATGACCGGAGATGTTGTTATGGCTGATGAGGATGCCGAGTCTTATGCTCCCGAGACTGATGAGGAGGAACTTGGTACATGAGATGCAGCAGTATATGATGACCTGGAAAACCTAGAGGGCACGATGGTACAAAAAACTATGGAGGCCTCTCTTCGGGATACATTGATGGTGGGCTCTAGTGGAGCTAAAGATGGAGATGAGCTTGGCACTGATGCCTAGGTTGAGAGAGTCCCGGGTGTGCAGTGTACACCTCAGGCTTAGCCTGACAGGGGATCTTGACTCCCTTTAGTTTTATAGTCAATTATGTTACATTGAGGACAATTATTAGTGTTGTTTGGCGGGGTGAGGTATTTTCATACTTGCCTCTTTTGGGTTGTTTTTGTGATTGTTTGATATTTGATAGTCAATTATGCTTACTTTGTGTGATTATGGCTTTTTGGTTTTTAATGTGAATGTTGGATGGTTTTTTATCCAAATGTAAAATTTCACCTCTTGATGTGTGTGGATGTGGTTGTTCTCTTGCATATTTGATTATTGGTTATGATTAATACTGCTGACTTGAATAGTGCTCTTGATTGAACGATATGTTTGTGCAATTTGAATGAGCCAAATTTGAGTTTCATAAGTCATGTGTGAACTCTTAGCATCTCATTGTGACTGGCTGGTTGTTGAAATGAATCTTGTGATGATCGTTGCACGCGAGCTAAAATTGTAGAATCTTGATTGATGATTGTGTTGAATGTCATGTGTAGTAAGATTCCCTTGAAATATGTGCTTGGTAATACCTAGAACTTTCCCGGTTAGTCCAATCGACTAATGTAGGCGAATGATAGAGATGATCTTAGGTGAAATTTTTGGAGAGTGAACCAAATTGCTAGTATACTTCTTTGTGACGACCTTGTGAGAGTGTGAGCTTACCTTGGCACTATTTGAGCCTAACTTTTTCATAAGATGAAACATGAACTCTTTTGATCTCTTTTCCTCATCACCTAAAACCTTCATGAAACATTGGTCTGTTTGAATAGCCAACTTAGGCCAAAAGCCTAAGGTAGTGATTTGGTGAAAAAGGAGGAAAGTCAAGAAGTTTCTAAAAAATTTCCATTGATGGATTGTGTTGAAAAAGATGGAACCCCTCCATATTAAAAAAGAGAGAAGAGAAGAAAAAGATTGAAAAATAAAAAGAATGTTGCAATAAATTTTGTGCAAATGATGAAAGATCGGGATATCCAATGAATCATGCTCAAAAGAACATAGGGTGGATTGTGAAAATTAAAAGGAGTGAAAGAAAGGGAAAAAATATGAAATGCAGACCATGCTTTATGAAAGTGGAAGTCACTACGACAAAATAATCATACCTTTACCCTTACCCCAGTTACAAGCTTTTGAAAGACCTTTGTGATCTTGATTAAGCTTAATGTCATGTTGATTGGAAAATAAGGGCGAGCCTATGGGTAGAATCATGGATGTGTTTATCTTTGAGAGTGTGAGAGTTGCTTTTGATTCTTTAATTCTGAAATTTTGATGACCTTTGTGTGAGCATGGAATCATTCGTGATGTGAGGACATTCGAATATTGTCGTTGAGGTTGAATTTGCATTTGAAGCAAGCATTGTGAGCTTGAGTTCTTTTTTATGATGGCTAGTCACTGTTTAAAACTTGTAGTGCCCAATTGAACATTGCATGGGTAGATTACACTTCATGTACATTCATGTTGAGTCTTAAGTAGCACTATTTGTAGACATTTTTGTTGAACTGATTGATCTTGTGTTTTACTTGAGGACAAGCAAAAGTTTAAGTTTGGGGTGTTGATGAGTTGGGAATTTCGACTCATTTAGGGCTTAATATCTAGAGTTTTAATGTCTTCAACCCTTATTCTATGCTCTAAACTAATGTTTAAATGCTAATTTGCCGCAATGAAGGTAAAAGAGCAAGCCAAGGACATTACCGGGAAAAGAAAAGCGAAAAAAACTGAAAAAGATAAAGAACATCAAGTCTCATGCTTTCCAAAGCGCCGCCGAGTGACTCTTCATCTTGCCAAAAGTTCCTGCAGGCCAGCCCATGGACAAAATCAACTCAGCAATAGAAAGGGTAATTCCGTGAAGCTCCAAAAGTTTTGATCGCCTAAAGTCACATAAGAGAAGTGTGGAACAGCCAAGCGAAGAAGGCGATGGAAAGGAGCACTCAATGAGTCGCCGACTTGGTCAGTGAAGCTCGACTTACTCCACCGAGTGGCTCCAAAACTGAAAATCTAGAAGCGTATAAATGCGATTTTAGAAAGAGATTTCAAGAGTTCTGAAGTTTTTGAGAGTTCCCATATTGTTTATCTTTGGGTTTTTTTATCCCTAACACTGTTCTTTAAGTTTTTAAGTAGAGATTTAGGATTTATTTGATTTTGAATTCATTTTCAAACATTTTGAAGACTTGTGGATTGTTAGCCAAGCTGACGGAAAACATAAATGGTAACTATTTCTTGCTCTTTATTATGTGTGGCTAAAACCCTCATCTTGGAGGTGTGATTATGTGATTGAATGCTTCAATTAGCTTATGGGTGTTAGTATTTACTGATTTAATTGTTGATTTGAAGTGGGTCAATTAGTAGTTGAGTTTTAATTGATGAGTTGTAGGTGCAAATATAATTCTAGCCTAGTATTCTAAGTTTCCTTGAGAAAGGAGTTAAAACTATTAATTGACAATTTTAGTGATTGGTTTATTGTAGACTTGTCTTGAGAAAGTGGGTCTAAATTCAATCTTACCAATCTAGCTTGAAAGAATAGATTAATTGAGGTATTAGGTTGTTTATTTGTGTTATGCTTTTCGTGGTTCGAGAGAACTCGCTTGATTCGTAATAGTTTATTGAGAAATGGCTATTACACCTAAATACTAGCCTACCCATTAAGATTCAACAACTTTTAGTAAATAAAAATCATCCATATTGTGAAATTGGCTTTCAATTGATCACACTCCCAAGGATCCCTCTCGACTTGATTACCCATGTGTGTTCATAGTTGTTGATTGTTCACTCTAATCCCCCCCCCCCAATTGACATTAATTTTCAAACCCCTGCCATTTACTTTAATTGTTTCAAAAATGTCTACTTCTACAATCGATTAGAACATTCCTTTCACTTCGTAATCAAATTCTCTACCATATCACTCCCCGTGGGATCGACCCCAACTCTTCGTTTGGTTTATACTTGATTGCGACCACCTACACTTAGAATTAGATGAAATTTAGTTGAGTGTTATCAACTATCGAACTTTCTACGTTTTGTAGACCTATCCTTAGACCTTAACTTTAACCCAAAAAATTCACCAAGCCTAGATTACCCCTACGAAACCCATCTACGACTCGTCCAATTTTCTACAGCTCGTCCTTTTCATTCGTAGGTCTAACTTCAAAAAGTTGAAATTCCAAAAATTCATCTCCAAGTCTACGACTCCCTTCCCACTGCCCGTGGAACTTCCTACAATCGTAGAAAGGACTCGTAGTCACTGCCTCAGTGCTAACATCATATTTTGCCCTTTCATTTCGTCTTTCACATTTCTAAGGTGTTACAACTCCACTCCTAATTTAGATTATATCTCATCTTAGAATATTGTAGAGAGAAAACTTCTAGAGTTCATATTTTGGGTTGGGACTTTGAAGGCGTGTTGTCTCACAATTTATCTTTTGGATTGCAGATTATGTTCTTAACAGCACTCCCTTCGTTTATAAAAGAATGACCTAGTTTGACTTGACACAGAGTTTAAGAAAATAAAGAAGGCTTTTGAATCTTGTGGTCCTAAATTAAAGTTATGTCAAATGTACAAAATTGCCATTTAATCTTGTGGCCTTAAACATGCCACGTGGAAAGCTGAAATTAAAATATTACCAAAAAAGAAAGAGGTCATTCTTTTTTAAACTGGCTAAAAAGAAAAGGAGACCATTATTTTTTAAATTGAGGGAGTAATATTTATTATCCTATCTTCTCTCTCTTGCTTTGTATTACATGAATTGTGGGTGTAATTGCTATTTGAAATTGAGGTTTTGTGCTATAAATAAACAAATCATGTGGGTGTTTGATTTCTCATTCTATTGCTTTAGTAATTGATTACTGCTTCTTATTCATGAAATGAGTTTAGTCTAATTATCACGATTTCATTTATCATTTAAAAGTGCACGCTCAAATTAAGCTTGGATCTTTGTGGATTGCTAGAGAGAGAATTTTTGAAATGGATGATTAGATTGATAATTGAATGTTAGCTTTAACTCTTAATTAAGTTTTCTCGAAAGAGAGAGTTAGACTTTCATTGTTAAATGCTAGACTTGCTTGAAAGAGAGGTCTATATTAAGGTAGTAGGTTGTTTTGTTGAATTACATGATTGAGACTAAAAGAAGATTACATGATATAGCACAATAAGATCGAAAGAAGATTTTTATTTTTAATGATGACCTAGCCTACCTATGATTGAATTAGCATGTGTTGAGTTGTAATGAATCGTTTAAAGGATGATTAACTTCCAAATTTCCCGATTCCCAATTATCCCTTGCTTGGTTAGATCTTTATCCAATTAAAATTTTGTATCTTAAACCACTCTTATTTTGATAATTGTGTATTGGTAGTTTAGATTCAATTTAGTAGCTTGTAATCTTTTGTCTTTTTGATTAACGATAAATTGTTGCTTATGGGATTCGACTCCGACTCTCTTGTGGGATATTTTATATTGATAATGATTGCTTACTCATTAACTTATTTTGTGAGTAATTTGAGCGTTATCAGTGATTGTTGGAATTTAGGGTGGGTTATGTTCTCTTCAACACTACTAGATTCTAGAGACTTCTTTATTTTCTATCTTATTTCCTTCTAGAAAGTTGTAGTTTTTAGATTTATTTTGTATTCGTAGATACTCTTGTACTGGTGTCACTTGGTATTTGGGTAGTTTGATTTTAACTTGTTTATTCTACATTTGTATGAGCTAGTTGCTTAATTTAATATTATTTCTGCATTAGTAAAACTTTTAGTTGGTAATAAAGAAACAAGGTTCGCATATTGGGTAATTGGTGCCCTCATGACCTAATGGATTTTTTTATGGTGACAGGTTGTTTGTTTTCCCATTTATATTGTATGTGTCTGTTAACTGCTTCTTTTGTATTGCATGGATAATATATGATTAGGGAAAATATTGAACATGTTTTGAAATGATAAGGATAGTTAGTCACATTCAATGAATATGTTTTACTTGGGTGTACAAGTGTGATTGCTATTCATTGTGGTTGTGGTTGTGATTATGATGTGTGTTTGATGGTTGGATCGGGTACCATGTATGGTACATGATATCCCCATGGTTGGTTCAGATACCAATTATAGCATGTACTAACGATTGGCTCGAATACCATGTTTGGTACGGGGATATCCATATATGATTGGTTTAGGTACCACACTGATACACTAATAGTTTGTATATGGGTTATGTGAGACAATTAGGTTAGCTTATTGTGTAGTGGTTGTTTTTGCTTATTATGCATACAAACTCATGGTAAGGACGGGGAATATGTGGTATGTTGTACTTGCGTTTATAATTGTATGTTATCTATTTTACTAAGTTGTAGTTCTCTGTTCATATTTCATATACCGAAACTAGTAAATGATCTTACAAGTACATTGTGCTTATGTACTTATACTACACTTGCTTCTTTTTTTATCGAGTATAGGGCATATTAAGACGGATGCTTAGAGACCTCAATTGTGAGACGAGTGATATTTGAATCCAAGGGTGAGATATTTCTTTTGGGCTGCCATGGATTCCTCTCATTTTCTTAGTCCATCACGTCAGACTAGACCTTTATAGTTAGGTTTTCTTAAGTTTTGGGGTTTCATACACTTATTCCAGACAACTAGTGTTTGGGTACTATGACTTTCAGGTTATAGGGGATTTCATACCCTTATTCTAGACAGCTAGTGTTTGGGTACTACGACTTTCAGGTTATAGGGGGTTTCCTTCCGCGGATGTTTGATGATAATGACTTATGCCTATAGGAGAACTTGATTTTGAAATTATAAAACTTGTCTTCCCTTTTTGAAACTTGTTATTTTGGAATGCTTATGGATGGTGTGTTAGTAGTTAGTTGGTTCTCACACCGGGGGTTAGTGTGGGTGCCACTCACTGCGGGTCAGGGTTGTGACACAAATCCTCATCCTAACCCATAGATTCTAGGAGTTAATTTGAGATCATTTTTTGGAGGATTTCTTGAGGATTATTCATGAGGTAAGTCCCTAATTAGTTGCAACTGCTAGAGGAATGATTGGGACTTGTGTAGACTATGGAAGGTTATTGTCATTGTTGGGTGATTCTCAAAGTTATTATAACATAAACTTTGTTCTAGAAGGACGGGAAACTCATAGAATTTGATTAAAGTTCTAAATATTATCATCATATTGATTGTAGAACTAGCGTTAAACATTACGTTTTTAGAGTGCTTAGGGACCTTTAAACGAAATTTAAGGTATGTCTCTTTTTAAACATACTGTTGACTATAAAGGTTATTTTCAAACTACCTAGGGTGTTATGTGCATGTACTACAAGCCTGCATTGAACCCTCGTAATTGCAATCTACATGATAGGATATGTATATGAACATATTATTTCCTGTGATGAGCTTTATTATACTTGATGTCTAAAGTGATATTTTGGAAGAAGTTTTCCCTGTGAATGAGTCAATGACTTAAATCTTTGGTCGAGTTTGCTTCACTTCCTGAGCCCTCATCAATTCCTGCAATAGCTAACAAGGGGCATTGAGGACAACTCGTTCATTTTAGGAGGAAAATGAAATCTATCATGAAGACTTAACGTTATTTTAAACACAATTTCCCAAATCAATTGATGACTTTGAAATATCCCTATTATGGAAGGTAATTTAACTAATAAAGTTATTTGGCAGAAGTGCCATGATTGTTGAATGTTTGTATTTGGGATGAATGGTCATTATGAATTCTAATGAAACATTGTGTCGGTCTAGAGGACGATTGATTTCTAAGGGTTCTAGATTTGGTGAGAGGAATGAAAATCCTATCCTATACGAAGGCCTATATACAAACAAAAAAAAAAAAACAGAAACTTTCATTGTCCTGGTGCATCACTTTGAGCAATGAGATTCTACATATTTCTCCCACCTTTTTTTTTCTTGTTTTGTCGGCATGTGTTTACTCCTGATTTTTCCTCCGTAGCGTGCTAATGAGATTGTACTTATTTTTTGCTCTGAACGGTCAATCATGATTTTTGTTTAATAATTTTATTGTTCTCGTATGGTTGGTGATGTTGAAAGTTATTTTGTACGATGTCCATATATCATTTAATACAATATACTACCCTTGTAAAATTGTAGAATTGTGAAAAATTTACCGTGAAAAATTTACCATCTCAAGTGAAATACTTGTCTATGTGATTTTTTGGGACATAAACTAAGTAATGTCGCAAAATCTCGTAAATAGATATAGATTTACAAGGGAAAGAAATATTAAAGGCTATAGAAAAAGCAAAATAAAATTGAAAGCTCCACCATTATCTTCTATTTTTTACCATCTTCATGGACGTAATTGTCTCAAGATTAGTAACATTTATTCTACTGAAGAATCTCTATTAAACAAAAATTTAAAAGAATATAATGGCATAAAATTCCTTTTGTTCGCCCCCAATAATTTTGTCTAAAATATACTAATTAAAGGGGTTGAGGCATATATATGGAAATTAAAAATCCCAAATGGAATCATGATGGTATTGGATTTCATCCCACTGATGATCCTCAAAAGAAGAGGAGGGACAAGTGTATTCTCTAACAGGTAATAAAGCCCCGGCAAACTCCATCCACATTTTTGGGGAGTCCAACGGGGATTCATTAATCGCCTGAATTTGACTCGGTGAGAGACCTACTCTCACCGGGCCTGCACCACAGTTGTCTGGATGATCATCAATTGGCCGTTTGAACCTCATTGCCGCTTCATGAGCTGCCATTTGTACATCTTCAGGTCTTGAACTTGAGGGTTTTGGGAATGTATGTATTAATTCAGGGAAATTGAGCCTTAAGTTTGGTCTCTCACCTTTTAGATGAAATGCAGCAACATCATAAGCTGCAGCAGCCATTTCTGCTGTCTCATAACTCCCCAACCATATTCGAGTTTTCTTTCCTGGTTCGCGTATCTCAGATACCCATTTCCCCCATTTTCTCTTCCTTACTCCTCTATACATGTCGATATTATTCTTACTTTCTTGATCATCTTCCATTTTAAATTTGTCACTCAAAAAATTAATATGGAAGTGAAGTTTGAGGGAACTAGCATATATATATAGTTGAATTATTGATGATCAAGTAGGAATGGGTACTTGAAAGTGAGCTTCCACGTAGTTGCATGAAAGTGGATTAAAGTTGTATGACAGAATGAAGCAAAAAACGCTCTTTTTGATTTTTCATGTATCTCCATGTGTTTGATTTGGACCCCTATGATTGACCAGTATATATATATATACTCCCTCTATTCCTCGTTACTTGTCCATTTTTTATTTTTTAATTATTCCTAATTATTTGTTTAATTTGACAAATTAAGAAATGACAATTTTTTTTTACCTATTATATCCTTAATTAATTAATTTGAAAAAGTAGAACTTCATAAAAAGCTTAAGTATTTAATTCATCTATTGTTGTCTCCTCTATTCAGATTAGCAAATCAGAAATAATTAAGATGAAAAGAAAAAGAAAAGAACTATCTGAATTCACTGAACCCAACATCTACTTCATAATTAATAGGGGTAAAATGATAAACTCGTTATGTCAATCATTGTTTTCTTTATAGGTATGACAAATCAAAAGTGGACAAGTAATTAGGGGCATAGGGAGTATATATGATGATGCGACGTGTTAATATACTTTTTTTTTTTCTTTATCCATTTTTTAATTTGAATAATGTGATATATGGATCTCGTGGTCCACGTACATATATATGGATTCTTAAAGTATTAACTAATAACATAAATAATATGTATTAAGTATCATACACAAACTTTAAATTTAGAATAATGAGGTGTTGGGTAGCTCAATTGCAAAAGGTCAAAGTAGATATTGGTGTTGACAAAAAAGTTCGCATAGATAGACACATTGTGTATCAGGTGGTGAAATGTGGATTTTCAGAAAATTTTATTAATGTGAACGACATTTATATTTTTCTCTCTGGTACTAGATACAAGATTTCGTGCTTATTTTCTCCGCTTCAAAATAAGTAAATTGTTAAAGTAATGCATATTTATTTAGAAAAAAAGTTTAGGATATAAAATAAATATCACTTTCTATTTTCGCCCTTTTAGTTATTCTCAAACTATTCTTGAAAATATAAATAATTCAAAGTTAAATTATAAATATGAACAATTAACTCTCTTGAAATTATCACCTAAAAGAAAAATCACGGGCAAAAATTGAAAAAAAAAAATTAATAACTCTCTTAAAATTTGAACAATTTATTTATTTTTAATTATGAAAAAAGGTCAACAGGATATTCGAGCGTTATCAATGTGATGCCAAAATATTATATTTTTAGCTATAATTTGCCTCATATTTAGTACCTTTGATATCTCTTTGAGCATTGATTTCATGTATTATACTTATGTTGGATGTTTTTTTTTAATGTGTAGGACGAAAATAAAGATATTAATTTGAGCCAAAAATAAATATAATAGATCTTCGAACTTCGAAGTTTGAAGAGAAGCCATGCAAATCAACCTGGATCCCGTCCGAGTGCAAGACCAAGCTTCAAGAATAAACACCAAGACAATTTACAAAGGGCATCTTTAAAGCCACCACGACGCGGCAAGTCAAAGTTGCGTAGAACTTTGTATTTCATTTAATTGAAAGTATTTTCGTCCGAGGACTTTTGGATAATCTATATATACATCTCAAACACGATTTTTGAAGGGTTAGCACACAGAGCATGCAGAGAAAAGGTGAAGAACGATTTTTTTTTTTTTAGGTTTTCTTTGTATTATTTATTATTCTTCATTGAACACATGCTATTCATGAATTCTGTGTTTTATAATCGAATCATGAATGACTAAACTTTTTAGTTCTAGGACTGTGGGATAGTTTAACAATCGTAATTCTTATTAAGAATTTTTATAATTGAGTTAGTTACTTATTTTTAGCCTAATTATTTGATTTTCTGTCCAACTATCGAATACTATTTATGGCTCATAAATTGGACTCGAAAGAGGAAATTTGCCAACATAATAAAAAAAAGTAGAGCCTGATCATGAACTTTATAGGAAGAGGGAATCGATTTGCTAACATGTACAGGCATGTACACGTTATCCTTGTTTAGTTGATACAGAAAAAAATATACAAACACCTCTATTGATCGACGACCAAAGAAATATAAGCGTTAGGGATAATTAAGTAGTCTTAGAATTATCGACAAGATACTCAATAAATGATATCAATCTGTAACTAGAAACTCAAAACAAGCAAAGAAACAAATGAGTGTACAATTGGATAGGTCAACTGGATTGTCAATTTCCCATGACCCTTTACCTTTTTCTTCCTTGATTAAAAATAAAAGTATTCTTAACTTGTTATAATTTTGATTGTCTTTCGTAGTTAAATATTAGTATAGTAAGAAATTCAAAATTATTTATTTCTTTCTGAGTAGTTGAAATGATAATTTAAAGTGGACGATCAATCGATCTAACAAGTCTCTATGAATACAATATTTGGACTTACATCCTATATTACTTGTATGATTGTGTGCAATTTCATGTGAGTTTGAACGCAAAAGAGGATTTCAATTCACATCACACGGCTTCATAATTGTTCTTCAAGGATTGACTACGAAACTACCGAAATAATTATTTATCATCAACTAGACTAAATGGTACATATATTATATATTATAAACTAAAGCTTATGTGCTTCCCCCTTGGAAGAAAAATCTTACGATTAATAATTTTGGTACATATATATTTGTCCTTTAATAAGAAAGTACGAGGAGCATTCAATGATATATATATATATATATATAAAACCATAAAATATGCTAAACCAAAGTATTGATAATTAATATATTAATATAGGAATAGGAAAGACAATTTACTGCAAAGTATAACACCCATTATGATTGTCCATCTTATTTACCTCAAAGTATTGAAAATTAATATATTTGTAAAATATTATTAAACACTTATAAATATAATTTAAGACATATCCAGTAAGCTTACAAAGAACATAAAATATGTTAAACAAAATATGTACAAAGTGTGTTTCCTATTCAACCTAAAGAATTTTATTTTTTTTATATATATATAAAAATGTCATTGAATGCTCCTCGTACTTTATTTTTCTTCCAAGGGGGAAGCACATAAGCTTTAGTTTATAATATATCATATCATATATATATATATATATATTAAACAATAACTTATAGCTTATTCAAGTTGTCATAACTAGTATTAAAAGATCACATAATCTAATATTCGTTGTACTATTATGTTAGACACAAATATTTAATTAAGTAATAAATTTTTAAGTACAATTTTTCATATGTTGAATATAAAATATATCACTTCATTTATTTTCAGACACTAGCCTCAAAAAGTGGTAAACCTCAAGTATATATATTCAATTTTATGTTATGTGGTTAACTTAACTACCTAATAGACATTTATGAATATGAATAAAAAAAAATTTAAAGGAAAAAATGAGCAAAAAATGTTTAATAGAAATACCTCATCATACATTTATTGGAACAAGTCATAATTCAAGTGTCAAGATAAAATATACTGACAAATTTAACGGATTATCAATATATTTGGTTAGAGAATCAATTGATCTCATTAAATAGTGTAATAAAATACTATTTATTTTTATCTAAAACACACCACAACCATAGTTCCACTCCTTTTTTTTTTTTTTTGTATATCACAATATAATAAAATATTGGATAAAAATACATTTACTTTGCTTATCTTAAAATATGAAAACTGAAATTGTTGGAATATTATTTCTACTTTGTTGGCATAAGAAATATTTACTTCAAAACTTTTGATCGTGGTTAAATTGTACGTACTTAAAAGTATTTATATCATTTATGTCTCTAATGAAAGCAATCATATCATATATATAAATAAAAGAAAAGTCTAGTCCTGCCTACGTGGCGTCACCACAAATCAGATTCCATTTTAATTTATTTTATTTTCAAAATTAGTCTTCCCCTTTCATGAAAAGTTGTCGCCATCTCCTTGGCACACGTGACGGATCATACTTTCTTGCCTTAGACCACTATCAAGGCTATGAGTTTTCATAGGGTAGATGATCCTTACCCGTGAAGGTAGTTTGCTTGCTTACTTGTTAAAGTAAGACAGAAAGAGTACCTGTCCTCTCCTTACAGTCAAGTGGCTTTCCGCTCCTCTCCACGAAAAAAGCCCTGCCCTCTCCTTCGCTACTAGGAAAGTAAGCAACTTCTATTAGCGCCGGAACTTGCTACCCGGTGAACATGAGGTCCCACTCACTATTCATGGCCAGACAAAAAGGGACCACTAGCCTAGAGAATCAGATAGGGAATAGGCCCTGAGTGTGACTTTTATGAAAAATTGTGACTTTTATGAAGAGTTGCCACTTTTATGAAAAAATGTGACTTTTATGAAAGGTTGTGACCTTTCCGAATGGCTGTAACTTTTCCCGAGAGTTGTAATCTTTCCGAAAAGTTGTGACTTTTGTGAAAAATTTGTGACTTTTTGAAGAATTATCACTTTTATGAAAAATTGTGACTTTTATGAAAGGTTGTGACCTTTCCGAAGGGTTGTAACTTTTCAAAAGAGTTGTAACCTTTCCGATAAGACACAATAATCATTTGTTCACACTCCCTTTGTTGTCTATATATAGAGGACTTTCCTCTCATTTTTTAAAAAAAATAAAATTTTGAACTTCTTCTTTTGGACAATTAATTATTTGTGAACTTTGTTCCCGTTGAATGACTCACTGACACAATTGTTTTTGTATCAATACATAATTCTATCTGGAGAGGATCTATTCATTTAAACATTGGGTACTATAGGGGAATAATTTCCTTAAGGGGACACTGTGCATTCAATGAGCTTGATTTTTTCAATTTTGTTTCATTCTATTTTTTAAGATCCTGGTATGTTTTTTACAGTCATTAATTTATGCTTATAATATTAGAATCATAGGCCCGCCTACATGGCACCACCACAAATCAGGATTCCCTTTTAATTTATTTTATTTCCAA